AATGCGTAAATGTAATTAGTTACTATCCAACTCTGCTAGTCTAGGACAAAAAAAGACTGAATTTTAAATATTTTCCACCAGTTCAGGCTCTAAAAAACTAATAATTTTTTTGGATTTATTGGACTAGAAGTATTTTTTCTTGAACACAGAGTCCAGAAAGGGTTGGAAAACTGCCATCGGGAGGATTAATGTCTTTGTTTTGAACAGAAGTCAGCAGCCAGTGAACGTCTCTGACTTCACATCAAGCTGCTTGTGTTTGCATCTTTGACTAAAACTCACTGCTGCAGTTCATCTGTTCATGCTCAGATCTGAAGTTTAGAAGTAAAAAATGAAGCTGTTTCTCCAGACACATCCCTTATGGCCATGTCAAACTCTCCGTAAACGTGTGAAACAGTAATTACTGATTAATACAAGCAGACAGCCTGTGTTGTGTTAGTCAGCTGCCGTCCTGCTCCACAGCAGCCAGAGACGGTGATTTTCCTCCCGTTTTGTCCTCCAATCACGTGTCTCCTCCTTCTTCCAGGAAGCGAGGGGATGCAGATGAGAGGAGTGGGCGCTATAAATAGACATCCTTTCATTTTTCATCTCTCTTACTCTGAAAACAGCGGCAGCGAGGAGAGCAGGCGGGATGTGGAGGATGTTTTGTGCGTGTGTGTGTGTGTTGCAGAATGCAGGTGAATTCAGCGAAGTTTAAATATAAAAACCTCGCCTCTGTTTGAGGAACACGTTGTGCTGCTTTTGGGCGAGACGTTCTTTTTCCTATTTTTGTCTCTCCACCGCCTTAGTGCAGGTTTGCTCTGCACATTCTGCCTTTAAGGCTTGCTTTTGTTCCTGCTCAAAGGTTGAGCCAGTCGGTCCATTAATGCTTGAATTTGGTCCGATTCCAGTTCATAAAACTGCTGATGCTGAGAGAGATTCAGATGCATTCAAATGTCAGCCAACCCCGTCTTCTGTCTGGCATAAAACCTTATTTAAAGAAATAACAATCTGAAATTTACCAGTGTTTTTATGCGGTTGTAGCTCGCTGAGCTGCCTGATATTTGAAAAGGATTGAGAAAAATTGCATGGATGGATGGATGGATGCTGGTTCTGCAGATAACATCTAGTCCTGCCTGCAGATCCAGCAGCTATGTACGTGCAGAGCATGTGAAGATATTTCCTTTAAATATAAATTCAGTCTTAACCACAGACTGACTCAGCTGACTCAACAGATGCATTACTGTACAATTTGAATTTTTATATTTCAGCCAAGTTTTAAACACAAAAGCCACATTTAAAATTCAGCATTTTAAGTATAAACTGTCTTGTTATCCCTCTCTGCGAACCACTAAACAGATTAATAAATATAATTAATATAAACCTAATATGGAACTAAATGTTTAACATACATCACAGGATCTCACTCCATACGGCTCAGTTTATTGATGATTCATGAATTATGTTTAAAAAAGATTTAAGTGTAAAAGATTTCATGATAATTTCCTACCATTAGAACTGAACGCATCTCGTCTCATTCGTTAGTTTATCCCTATTTAATTTCGGGCCCTGACCCGTTTGGACCAGTTTCAGAAACATCGGAAGGGTTGAAACGCCTTTTTCTTGCAGGATGGGACCGGACAGGCCCGAAGTGCAAGCAGAGATCCATTACAGCCTTCACTTATGCATTCATTCATTCATTCATTCATTCATTCATTCGCGGATCCAAATCAGGCATTTTGCTGCTTGCATCTCCGCTGCTTTTCCACAATGGGAACAGCTGTCAGGGCAAACGCTTTTAATGCTAGTGGTTTTCATCGGAACCATTTTTCCTCTGGTTTTACATGAATAAAAACGCGCAGAGCGAATCCGACACGTGGCGCATTCAGATGTGAACAGTGATGTCGTGTCAGTGCAGCAGCAATAAGGATATTAAAACCTACCTTTGCAGATTTCTATCCGGCTGCTGCTGTCCGCCGTGTTCAGCACCCGCAAACACCAACACTGTCAAGGAAGGGAGGCTGAGCAGCTCTACATCCGGTTACTGACTTCAAAATAAGAGCACTTCAAGCAGCCAAGAAAATAAAGGAATAAGTATAAAAAAACGAACGTTAACATAGAGCAGAGTGAGGCCAGTACGTATATAATTTAGTCAACGTTCTTTTAGTAATTTATCTGACAGTTTAAAAATGGTTTATATTGATTCATCTTCCTAAAATAATAATGGCCTGTGACAATTTTTGCCACAAGAAAAGTGATTCTTTTTTATTTCTAATTTATCTTTTTTGCAAAAATAAGGTGATGATTTTTTTTTCTTTATTTGTCAAATCACTTTTGTAAAATAATTGACTTGGGCCATTATTGTAGGAATGTGATGATAAGGAATAATTAAGGGCCAATCATTTCTCCTTGTGGTACTCCTCAGACAGTCGTCCTAAATTCTGGCACTGTATTTTGTATTTCTTGAAGTATTTGTGCACTTTTAGCAAAAATAATGATCCAGAAGCTGCTTTACTTTGTAAATATAAATACCATTCTCTTGTGCAATTTATACAATCTCCATTACTCCACGGGTTATGAACTCCATTTAATTTCCTAATCTATGTCTGGACATATAAGTCAAACTATTTTACAAATTACTTTCCTGTTACTTTTAAATATTAAATTGGAATGTTTGTTAATAGTTTTTCATGCACCAATTTTTATATTTTGAGAACTAGAAGCAAAATATGAACAGAAAGAATTAATATTTTGCAAACTAAAGCAGTTTGGAAAAAGAGTTCTGCTGTCTTTGTAGAGTATCATCACAGACATTCATTCACATGCTTATTGCATACTAACTTAAAAAGTTTTTTACATGTTAGATTTGTGTTTTAATTTTTTTCCCATGCAGGTTGTGCAAAGTGTAGCTGCACTGTTAAATCTGAATATTTATCTATTTGAATATATTAGAATGTGAATAGTGCAGAATGTAGAGTGTTGTGTGGTCTAGAATGTACTTTTGTTTTCATACACTCACCATTGCAAATGTCATAAAAATTAGGCGTTAAATTACATATATGAACAATATGTTCATAAAACTTATGTTAATATTAAATCAAGAATTGAGTCCATGAGTTTAACATTTATTGTGTATTTTATCCAATCTTAACCAAACTATAAAATCCCACAAGTATGACTTTTTAATACCTATTCCATCATTTCTTTTCTGACAATTTAAGAACATATTTTAGACTTTAAAAATCTGAAATAAAATTATAACATTGAGTGAGATTGTGAAAAGTTCGCTGCATTACTTTCTACAATTTGAAAAGACAGAAAAACAGCGTCTGACTTAATTTCAAATGTAAATATTTTATGTTTTAGTGAGCTCAGCAGTGATTATGTAATACTACCATTTATTTTGTTGGACTTATTTGACATTTGGACATTTTTTGTTGTTCTCATATTATTTAATTGTCATTTTCTTATTTGTAATAAACATGAATTAAATGCTTAATTAATTGCTCAGTTATTAATGTCGCTTATATTTCTCAGCGGTGCTTTGAGAAATGCTTTGTTTTGAAAGCCAAACTCATTTCCTGTGTCACTGTAACGCCGCCATCTTAACTCGGCCTTTGTGAAACTGACATGTGGGCGGGGCTTAAGAGGCCCCGCAGAGGACTGACAGCTCTTCTGACCAATCACGAGCCGCAATGGGAGTCCTGAAACATTCCTCCTCAAATAATGAACCGGTCATTTATTATTGATGAGCGCTGCCGGAGAGGCTGAATTATTGATCAGGAGGTCAGCAGTAACCACTGCTGCGATTTCTACAAAAGCAGACACCGACTTTATGATTCTCACTGTGAGAAATATTACTGCAGGAAAATCAATACCAAAAGAACACTGGAAAGAGCTGAATATAAATCTCAGTCCGTGGAATGATAAAATCTTTAGACCTAATTGCAGAAAAGTTAATGCAGTGAGTTTGACAGATACTTCTTTCTTCCTCTGAAACAGCATTTAAATATGATATATAAAGCCATTAATTATTCAATATATAAAACTTTGTGTCGAATTTCTATCATTTAATAACTCACTTAATGATTTTAACTAGTTTTATTTATTTTTTTTATTCCATAATGGGAGAACACGAGAGGAGGAACTGTCAAAACAGTCAAGTTGTACTTAGAAATATCAATCCTTTTATAAATGTTTACTTTAATAATTTTAGATGCTTTAAAAAGACGGTAAAAACATTAGCAAATTAAACATCTTTTAGTTGCATTTTTCAGCAGCGGTCTGCAGGCGGCGCTGTGGCAGTTTGAGGTTACTTGTCAGAACAGAGGCACAAAACTCAAAAGAACTATTGCTGTTTGCTTTTTTATAATGAACAAACAAAGCAATTATTAAGGTAAATTTATTCAAAATAAATGTTTAAAGAAATCCATCAACATGGTTCAGATTCATGGCGTACTTTTTGAGTCCCCAACTCTTTAGATAATCTTATGAACTTTGGGAGTTTGGTTTGTATTTCACTTTATTTAAGTATTTGTCAGTCTTTGCTATTCATATTCAGTTAATTCCTTAAATTCAATAAATGAACTGAAGTTCATACAAACAAAATAATTTAGTATTTGTTTTGTATTTTTATTCTGCTCTCATGTCTGTGATCCCAGATCCAAAGCGTCCCTCAGTGTCTCGGCTTCCCAAGTTGCTTCCCATCTGCTTGTTAACAAAATAAGTAAATGAATAAGTAAATAAATGCAGAAGTGGTGTTTACTGTTGATCACATGATTCTGTGTGATGCTGTACTATCACTGTAAAAGAAACTGTCACTCTATGCAAACGTGTGAAAATGTTACTACTTAACTATTGAAACAATTAATACTCTGAAGGAACACTTTACATATTTTTTAATATGACTTCTAGTACATTTTAATAAATAGTCAAGGACCCATTCTGGTTACGGTGTAATGATAAACTTATGACAGTTGATTCCCCTCCTTACAAGAAGGTGGCGCTTTAACTTTTTCTTCAGTTGTGTAAAGCTCTTTCCTGCGCATGCGTTCTTTTTTCCGGTCAGCACACTGTTTAATTTTATGTAGTTACCTGTACTGTTGGTATATTCTTTTCGTTTCTTTGATTTATTCAGACGGATTAAGGATAACTGTAATTATGTCCGGTTAGTTAGAGTGGAGTGAGCGGAAATATAAATCTGTGGGGGAACGAAAAGCTACAGAACACCGGCTCAGGTTTTCTCCTGTTCCTTTGCTTTGTTACATGTGACATTCAGCAGCTGCCACTTATGTTTCTGATTAAATTGTCCCAGGTGGGACAATATGTATATGTAACAGTTCATAATAATACCGATTCTAATCGTGTTTACAACAAATGTGTGATTAATTCTACCTTAAAATCCCACAGAATGGCTGAAGCTAATGTTTTACTAGAAAAGCAGCACCTGAATCTGTCTGCGTGAACTTTGACAGACGAAGCATTCAACTCTTAGCTAAATGAAATGTTTAGCTGACGGTCTTTCTTTGGCTCTTTTTCTAAATCTAAAACACGCAGAATAGAGAAATGCAAATTATTCTACAGATTTTTCAGAACACAGTTGCTCTCTTTTGGAATTCCTAACCCAAACTGGACAGATTGAATCTGTACAAAATTATTTAATGGTAGTTTATATAAAATACAGTTTGTGCTTTATTAAACTTTTATTTAATTTATTAAAACTTAATAAGAGCCATTTTAAGGCACAAGAGTGCATTTTAAACACGAGTGTTTAAAATGCACAAGAGTGCAAGAGTGTTTAAGAGTATCTTAAACAAACACTCTTAAGTGTTTAAGATAGTCACTAGACTATAGTGACTAGTGGATAAACTGTTTTTATCCACTAGTCACAAGAAAATAGTGACTAAATGACACTATTTTCTCTACATTGCTGCTTTAAAGAAGGTTATTCAATAATCCTGCTCCTGATAACAAAAGAGATTACAGAAGCTATTTATGACCATTAATGCTCAAGTTCATAATAAGAGTGAAATCCTTTAAGAAATCTCAAAAAATCCAAAAATAGTTTTCTCCAAACCTTTTGCTACAAGGCTCAAAATCACAAAGCTGAAAGAGATTTAGGGGCACCGACCCGTTAGTTCTGTTTTTAAAAATTAAAGTTAAACTTATTGTTCAACAACGACGTCGAGTGAAAACTGGATAAAACAGAAAAGGTCACGCCACCGGTTTGGCTGTATTTCAGATACTTAAAACAAAAGACTAATCAATAATTATCGATATCAACTGACACGAAACGCTCATGTGGTGATAATTTTTTTTAGCCATATTGTCCAGCCCGAACTCAGCTCGTTTTTTTTTTTTTTTTTTTTTTTTTTTAAAAATTTTAGGTTATAAATTTTTTGGGAAAAATTTATAATTTTTTTTTTT